CGATTGACTAAAGTGAGACTAGTTGATCTAAATGCTTGGAAAATTTGCTGGAAGGTAGAAAGGAATTTTTACAATTCCTTACACCACTGGACGCCCCTACTACAGCTACTACAAGTACTGCAGCTACTACAGGTACTACAGGTACTACAACTACTACAGCTATTACAGGTACTACAACTACTACAGCTACTACAGGTACAACAACTACTACAGCTACTACAGGTACTACAACTACTACAACTACTACAGCTACTACAGGTACTACAACTACTCTAGCTACTACGGGTACTACAGGTACTACAGGTACTACGGCTACTACAGGTACTACAGGTACTACGGCTGCTAAAGCTACTACAGGTACTACAGGTACTACAGCTACTACAGCTACTACAGCTACTACAGCTACAACAGGTACGATAGGTACCATAGGTACTACAGCTACTACGGGTACTACGGCTACTACACGTACTACAGCCACTACAGCTACTACAGCTACTACAGCTACTACAGCTACTACAGCTACTACAGCTACTATGGGTACTATAGGTACTACAGCTACCACAGGTACTACAGCTACTACAGGTACTACACCTACTACAGGTACTACACCTACCACAGCTACTACACGTACTACAGCTACTACGGCTACTACACGTACTACATGTACTACAGCTACTACAGCTACTACAGTTACTACAGGTACTATGGGTACTACAGCTACTACAGGTACTACACCTAGTACAGGTACTACACCTACCACAGCTACTACACGTACTACAGCTACTACAGCTACTACAGGTATTACAGGTACTACAGGTACTACAGGGCTACTACAGCTACTACAGCTACTACAGGTACTACAACTACTACTACAGCTACTACAGGTACTACAGCTACTACAGCTACTGCAGGTTCTACAGGTACTACAGGTACTACAGGGTTACTACAGCTACTACAGCCACTACAGGTACTACATCTACTAGTACAGCTACTACGGGTACTACAGGGCTACTACAGCTAGTACAGCTACTACAGGTACTACAGCTACCACAGGTACTACACAGCTCCTGCGGGTACCATAGGTCTTACTACAGTACTAATAGTATGGGCGGTGGCCCGGGACATTTTGGGCAGTCTTACACCAAATACTACCCTTGCTCAATGTACACACGTATGACGTGAAGGTCACATGATCAAAATCGAAGCGTTTATGGCGAAGCTGCATAAAGGATAGTTTTCCCGGCGAAAAAAGGCACAAAGAGGCATTCGAAGCACATTGTATCTGATTCAATGTGTTAACCGAAGCATTTAGACGGTTTTCCGAAAAAGTGACCTGTTAGCCGTCAGTTACCCTTTAATGCCTGACTTAATACAAGCTGCTGGTGATGGCATGAACAAAGCTCGACCCTGTTAAGAATGTTGCCAAACCTTGAGCGGAAGGAACTTATCGGAAGCGGGAGTTTTGGGAACGTTTACAGAGCGGAATTGGATGGTAAACCAGTAGCAGTGAAAATCCTTCATGAACGCTACTTCAGAGAACCCCACAGCAACAACGAATGTTTGAAGAAGTTCAAAGCGGAATGCAAAATTCTTCAAAAACTCCAGCATATGAACGTGGTTACGTTATTGGATTTTATCATTTCACATGCTTCACCGCCAATGCTGATAACTGAACTCTTGGATTGTGACTTAAGAAAGTATATTCGTGATTGTCATCCCGGGAAGATTCCATTTTCAGAAACTGTCT